CGCAATACCACAGTCTTCATAACGCGGCAATACTCCTTCGGTTTCCCATGTGATGAAAACACGAATTCCTTCCAACCAACTTTTATTTCGAAATGGAAAGTCATATCACAATATATCAGGAAGGACGTCTTCGAAACCCAGATTTCATTTTTATATTAGAATGACTAAATTCGTACTCAGGAATTACTTATACCAAAGATAGGTAACGCCATCGATTGAAGTGATAAATACATGTTTGTTTAATCGGCAATCGCATTATTAGCTATGCTTTAGGTGAGGCATGGCCTACTTTGAATGTTTCCTCTGACCTGTGGCTGTTTAGCGGAATGGTAAGATTGCCATGGAACTCGCAACCCGGCATCGAATCCCGCTGAACTGATGAGACCAAGGCGAGGTCGAACCTCCATACCGCCCTGTATGAGATAGAATTCTGGGAGAAAACATGTGGGAGATTCAATCGTATTCTGAATCCTACCCATTACACGGTGGGGATGACTATGTTTTGATTCACAAATTAGTAATAGTCTCGAGAAGTTCCTTCACCACAAATAAAAATACTTCATCATTGTCAGGCCTGAGCAGAAATTTAACTGAGATCTGGCCAAGAGTCATAAGCGAAGAAATAGCAAGGTCATCTGCTATTGGGCTATACTCAGTAAATCCTTGCCAAATTTAGAGCACTTGTAGGCTGCTCTCAATCCAGGCTAGAAATAGACACGCATAGACACGGATAGACACTCAATAACTGGATTTTAACGTTTTATAATATACCCCACCTTATCCCTTGCACCTTGTTTATATGTGATTTTCTTCTCCTCTGATAAATAAACATCTCTCGGAGGGAAAAGGCCTGATAAAACAATCATGCATGGAAAGAGCGTATTTAGCATCAAACGTGACTCATTGCATAGTTGTTTACACCCAAGACAAAAGTATCAGCATCATTCGTAATAGGAATTCTCTCACAAAATGTTGCTTGATACAAGCGTTTATTTTTAACCTCTAGATGCCTTCAGCCTGATTGCTGTATGAGACTTTTAAGCACAAAAACGAGTCACTCTAAAAATATTATTTGTAGATTTCAACACCGAGCATTGGCAAAATTAAACTTACATTTGGATTAATCTTGGGTCTACCAAATATTAGCTCAATTGAAAGCCTAATCTAAATAGCATGACCGAGGCTCTGGTTTCCCATTTTTATCTTTTTTCATCTATTCTACTAGAATCTATAATTTCGAGCGTGATGAAATAAGACAGAAAAGACTATCATAACCCTGATTTCTGAGATAGCCTTAAGTCTGACTACCAGTCAAAGCTACAGAATAATTTCAATATAACTCGAAATTTGTGTCGGCTAAAATGAAGATTGATCTGCAATATTATTACAGGCTGATATACAAGAAGTTTGTTAGTTTCTCACCTGAGGTTCCAATCAAGGCTGAATCTCTGACTTGTTCCGAGTTTCTAGCACTTTCAGAACTGGGAATCGAGGTTTGGTAGGGTGGGGAAGCATCTACGATCACCGTCAATTCGGCACTGGCACTGCGTGGTGGAACTCCACAATCCGTGGCCAAGAGGTGCAATCGCCACTCTCCCTGAGGGGAAAAAAGGTAATAGGATCACAAGTTTGTATACACTAGTCAAGAGTTCGGCGGAAGTTGATGTTCGATACAATGAATCGAAGTATGAGTGGACGGGAGCAACGATTTTATATTCTATATGCGATTTCCTAAAAGCTGATTTTTAAATAAATCTCTGCATCTTTTCTTGTAGCCTACTTGTTTAAAAACAGGCAATCTTCATAAAAATGGACATAATTCTCAAATTGTAGGAGGATAATATTAGGAATAATATAGCCCAAATTTCCTAGGCAATACTTCATTAATTATTTCTGAACGGTGCTGAAATCTAACTGCTACCTTACGACAAATCGACTGCGCCGAGATACTTTTTGAATTAAAATTAAATGCCATGCTTTGTACGGTATGCTTTTTCTTATTCGTATTATAACTAATACTAATGTAAAAGACATTTATATGAAGAAAAGCTGAGTTTCAAAGAATTCCTTAAGAGCTTGATTTTGGTATACCTCTTATTTCGTTTGAAAAGGCGACCGGAATGAATTCGTAAATTAGCCTTGTCGAAAACCAAAGGAGATGGCTATGGATTTGGGCAACTAGGTTCTACACGTACTATCCAGCGACCTCGATAAGGCTGTGCTGAGCTTTCATATGTCATATGACAGACATTGCCAGGGTAGGAATCCATAATTTATGCACTAGAACAAGAAACTTGGTTTTTACG